CACACACACACACAGAGAGAGAGAGAGAGAGAGAGAGAGAGAGAGAGAGAGAGAGAGAGAGAGAGAGAGAGAGAGAGAGAGAGAGAGAGAGTCCATAAACTTCTCGGCAAACTTCTCATTTTTATTGCGGGCGTAGCCGCAACAGGTACCCTAGTATGCTTTAATGATGTTATTGTGACATGCTCCCAGCTCATCTGAGGGAACAGAGTTGGTGCTTGCAGCGGGCCTACAGCCAGGGCCTACCGGGCTATTTGCCTGTTCGGCCTGTGGGACCAGGTCGTGGCCTGACCCACAGGCCGTGTGCTGTTTCAGTCCAGTCCAGTCCTGCCTGGTACCGACAGTACCAGGCCACTCCAGTCCAGTCCAGTCAGTCCGCTGGGGGTATACCCCAGCTGCAGTCTGTTTTGAGTTCATTCTTCATTCTGCACATTTTGGAGTACGTGCGTGTTGAGTCCGCGTCAGAGCTGCGCTGTCCCTTCCAGCTACATCTCCATCTCCTCCACCCTCAACCCTTCGTCCTCATCCTGATGGACCGCCATCCCAGCGGGTCCGGCACACTGGTATCAGAGCGGGAGCATTCCCCGCTCCCACCCACCACACCCCGTCATCGTGGAAAAGCGGTGAATCCCGCTATTAAAAGGGCCTTTACGAATTAAATCCCAGATGAATGCCCCAACAGCGAGGGGCTCTGTTGGCCAGAACTTAATTCATGAGCAGCAACCCAAAAGACAAAGTTCCTGAGGCAAATGTCGCATCCATAATGAAATGAAAAGTCGTTCTGAACAGTCACTAACAGGTGCTGCACGAACAGGTATTGGACACAGTTTTCTAGACTGAGTTAGGGTCATGTCTCCTCGATGGAAAGTCATGTCTGTTCGGCAATGAGTCAAAGGCCACAGTCCCAGTTCAGTCATAATCCCACGAGTCAGTTCTGATGCAGACCAGGAGTCCAAAAGACAGGCCCGGTGGCCTAAAGCAGCAGCAGACCATGGGAAGAGATACTGGGGCACACACTTTGCAACAACGGGTACTGGGCAGGAGTCCCGGACACTTGAGGCTGAATGCAGGGCACGCCAGGCCAGTCCAGCACTATAAAGGACTGGCCACCCTCCCATTTAGACAGATGCTCATCTTGCATGAGAGTATGGAAGTGCCGTGGCACTTGTGCATCAGATGTGTGTGAGCTGCGCTAAGCTGAGAGCAGCGCTACGTGAGGAAGAGGAGAGGGGCGCCGGCTGGAAGGAAGGCAGCCATAGCTGCGCCAGCGCCAATAGGGAGTGTGCATGCATGATGAGTGGGAGTAGACCAGGACAATAGACATAGAGGGAGAGAGAGAAGAAGGCAGACGAGAGAGGGGGAGGTGTGAACTATGGTGACACTTACCTGTTGAGCGCTGTTGTTGACGTTTGGCAGCTGGCGCTGATGAGCTCCAGGCTTGGAACTCATGTTGATCGAAGAAGACTTGTAACTCTGTTCGCGCTATACATTTTGGACTCGTAAAATTCCTCTCCTAATCTGGTTATGATAATTGAGTTGAGCTTCCTGGTTCTCATTCATTTTCTATTGGGCTTTGTGTGAGACATCGCAATCTGTGAAATCTGTGTATATGCATGTGAGCTGATGCACTTCAGCAAGTGATGAACAGTCGGGTTCCTTGCACTATCGGGATTTTGGCTGTTTTTCAGCCGTTTTTGCAGCAAACAGGCGGGAAGAAAGTGCAGCGCGGAGGGTGCGACAGGTGGCACGAACACGCCAAGGCAGCCAAGGCCGCCGCACACGCAGCACACACACACACGATCCGCTGCCCCGCCCCGCCCCGGTCCCGGATTACACATATCAAGATCTGGGATGCACGCTGCCGCGAGGGTTTGAACCCGGGCAGCTGCTGGGCATGCGCGTGCGTAGCCTGTGCTGTAACACACTGGCCAAACTGTGTCCATGGCTCTGTAGTGTGGAACGGTCGTGTTGAGCAGTTCCACACGAGCTATTTACCCCC